ATCATCAGGGACAGCAAAGCAGCCAGACTCAGAGCAAAGGCATGGGTGAAACGCTGAGGAACAGCACTGCTCTTTCCAGGAACAGGAGCTGTTGCCATTACATCCTACTCCCTTTGCCTGCAGAGTCACAGAGCTGTGCAGGATCTGTCTGTGACTAAGTTATAATCACTAACAGAGGGTGAACAAGTTCGGTGTCACGCCCATGTGAGCAGTTAATGGTGAAGAACAAGGGAAGTTGTGGGGGAGCCATCTGAGATCATTTTACCACCCCTCCTTTGCAGCATTAGCAGACCCAGAACCCATCTCAGGGGTGAAAAGAGGGGGAATTTCAGGTCACAGTTTAACAGACCAGGTCTCCTCCACTGTGTTTGTTGCTTGCTTCTCCACCACTGATGTGGGACACCCCCAGCTCTGATACCTGGAGCAACTGATATTTTCATGCTCCAAGTTTCACCATAATTCTCTGCCTGTGCTGCTTTCCCCCCCTTTTTGTCTCATTTAATGTCTCTTCCTCAGTAGTCATTGCTTACTCCAGCTGAGCACTGAGGACACTGCTTGGAAGGAAAGCTGCAATCCCCAACAAGGTCCTTGCAACTTATGGCAGTAGAGGGAGCAACTTAAAAACACACACAAACACCCCTCAGTCCAAACACCCCAAAAGCACTTTCTTGGGTGGCAAGCCACCCTATGGCCCAATCAACCTAAGATATACCCAAGAATTTAATGACAGCTAAGCCTGGCTGGGAAAGTAGGCTTGAAATGACACTGGAAGAGCCACAGCCTTCCTTCCAAATCTCAGCTAAATCCTATAGTGACCGTGTCTTCATCCTGCCTACTGCTGATCTTCACCTGAGATGTCACAAATGGCCTCCATTTCTTATCTCCTTCTGAGCTTCATACCTGCTGTGGTAAAGGTGGATTAACAGATGGGACTGATCCCCGAGTTGAACACAGCCCTTGGGACCCCCAAACTACCCCTCTGCAGAGTGATTAGTGCAACTGCTTCTCCCCACTCACAGGTGAGGCAGGCTGGGACAAATATAATCTCCTAATTGATGCATTATCATCTCTCACCTGAGGTGTGGCTCCTTTCAATCAGTGTTACAGCCACAAGCAGTGGCAATACCTGGGGTCTGTGCTGGGCAGCTTTGCAAGGGTTGGCACTACCCCTGCTGATAGAGACCTTTTGCTTACCAAGCGGCCAGGGGAGATCAGAAAGTCTACACTTGCACATGTGCCAAGAGCACTGGCCAAAAGTGTTTCAGATGGCATTTTATCAATGCAGTGCAGCCAGCAACTCCGAACCAACATAAATTATACAGGGAAGATGAACAAGATGAAAGATCCTTCATCTTACCGCAGGCAGAAAATACACTCGGGCTCTTCCTCATGGTGCCCGACGGTCCAGAAAGAAAACACAATGATTCACATCGTGCTGATTTGCTGTTGGAGACCTCAGAGCTTACAGTAGGTCCTGCTGATTTAGTGCAGCATGCAGCAGTATCTAAAAATTTCCCAGTGGCCTCGCGTAAGAGTTTGCTTGAAAACAGTGACTAGTTTTGAAATTATTTGCTTTAGCTGTATTTCACCCTGTGCCAACCCATGAATCTTACCTGAATTGTGCTGGTGTGTTCTGGACTCTCCTTCGGTGAGCTCCCAGAATATGGGCAGGAATCAAAGCAGATACAAGAATTTATCCTGTTTCCCAGACACAATGCTGCGCTGAAGAACCATTATTCAATTACAACAGGTCCATGTCAGACCACCTAGAAAGTTCTGACAGCTGCAGCCATCCCCAAGCAGAGTTGAAGAGGAATGTACCATGTGCCACATGCTGCAGCTCTATCACCACTGAAGCTCCCTTGTCTCATTTATTTTAAAAGCAGCAGAATTGGTAACGCCTCTTTGCTGGTTCATTAGGCAAGGCAGTAAGTTGTGCTTGACAAATAGAGTAAGAAGTGGTTTTGGGTGACATACCACAGTGTTATAAACTGGTTTTATCCCAGAGCACTTTTACCCCTTCTTACACTACTGCTACCACTTCTAGAGACTGTTGTTAATGGCACAGGTCCTCGACTGACATAAAACAGCAAAGCTCTTATTGCCTGATGAGACGTCACAGGAACTGCACCAACTCACAGCCACTGTCAATATCTACCACAGATATTCTCACATCACCTTCCTATTAGTTGTTTGTGTTTTTATGTGATCCCTGACTGCAAACAGACACCTGCTTAGGGTACAGGTCACATTCATTGCATGGGACTTTAATTCTAAAATGTTTGTTCCGAAATCCTTATGGGCCCAAGGGTATTTAACAAAGACCAGGATCAGCACTTCTACAAGAACGGCAGACTCAGGAGACCCTCACCCAAAAGGAGGACAGGGGCCAGAGAAGCCCTGCCAGCCACCCCACCAGCTGTGTGTGCCATCCTCCAACACGTGCCCCTGCTCCACAGCAAGGTGGTACACGAGGCCGGCCCGGGCTGTGCGGGCAGCAGGGGAGCCCGTTCCCTGTCAGGGTTATAAAAAGGCAGAGCTGAGAAATGAGCACGTGGTGCTTTTTTTTCTCTAAAATTCTCTTCAGGAATGAGCAGCTATGGGCGGGGGGCAGGAGGCATCTGCACAAAATGAGAAACCCAGACCATGGGCAGGGAATGCTCTATCCACTAACCAGAGCTGGGGCAGCAGCATCTCAGGGCAGGGTTGGAAATCACACCTTGACCCGACAAAAGGAAAGGCATGTCAGAAACACCACCATGGCCAAAGACTTCAATTTTTAATGCAGCTGTGAGACCAGCTGTGTTTCCACAGATGCTAATATTATCCTTGGTCCATTCCTGTGCTCACTGCCTCTTGCACAGTCCAACACACATTACAAAGAATATTCCCTCATCTTTCTGGTTTTCTCAATGCAGTTTGTTTTTCTCCTCAACACCAAACTACAGCCCTCAAACCCACTCTCATTAATTAATCTCATTTTTTTTTTACTAAAGAGAAACGAAACTTCACCATCTCCTCTTTCTCACCTGGCTTGGTGTCCTACCCTCCAGTGGACTGACCAGTCTACAAATGGTGAAGATTGTGCAGGATACACCATGAAACAGAAGGAGTCTATAATTCTTATGTGGAAAATGGAGAATGCTGCCTCATCTCTACTGCTGCCAAGATGCAGCTTTTGCCCCTCTTAGTCTCTGCACACAAATACCTTTTATTTTTCCCACAGGAGAGCACTGAAGAAAAATTACCTGGCAAGCACAGTGTTGGTGCTGTTTCTTTTCATTGCTTTGTTCAAATTCCTTCAATTTGCTGTATTTTCCTGCTTTTGAAGAACTGAGAAACTTTACTAAGAGCACTAAGAGCAGTGAGAAACCATTCTTGTTGCAATTTGGCGACAGAAATGGATATACAGTGACTGCCACCCCAGTGCCCAGTACTGTGCCACTTACTGCCCTCTCACACAATAACAAATGTATGGTTTAGACTAGAAGTTGTTAAATCCTGTGCTCCTGGAGTCACATGGCAAGATGGGAATTTCATTTTGCATTTTTATGAACTGTGTGTGCCTCCCTCATTTCCATGAGAATGCACAACAGGCCCCATAAGAAAAAAACAATTACGATGAAGGAACTCACCAAGTAAATTTGTTATGCTGTAAATCATGAATTATCATCCAGGCTCCTTTCTTGTGTGCTTAACTCCTTTTACTAAACAACAACCACTCACCCAGGCCACTGCCAGGCCTTGGGGTGGGCATAAAAAACACTGATTAATATCCTGTAACTCTTCTTACAGATGTGACGGGAGTAGAAGGCTGTAACAGCCTTTTCTGCATTACAAAACATGAACCTAAGACCAAGTGTGCTATGATCTACTGGTGACAAATGAAGCTAATATAAAGCCTTGCCAAGATTTTGGCTTTATTAGCGTTATTTAACTTCAGGGACCATTAAAGGAGCCGTATTTGGTGAATGCAGCTGGGGGGACAGAATGGTTTTGGTTATGAAAGCCTGGTGTGGTAGGGAAGAGAAAAACTACAGGACAAAGCCAAAAGCTGTGCAGCTTGGGAAGAGCAGAAAACACGAGGCCAAGGGGTCAGTACTTTCTAACAGCTTAGATGTTACCAGTGAGAGGAGCATCAGTGATGGACATTGCTGGAGAAGTTTCCAATTCCCAGTGGAAAGGGTTGGAACAGCTGAAAAGAAGTTAAGATAAAAACATCCCAATGTCAATGAGGGCAAAAGTGTGCCTTGATAACGTTATGGGAACCCAGTGGAATGCTGGATGACACACACTGCCTTATCAAAACTACTGTTAATCGTCCTACTATGTGCTAAAACTGCAGGAGACACTCCTTAGGATCCAATAGTATCTCCCCTTCTACAAAAAATTAGAAGGAGCAAACACCCATGTGCACAAAGGGCAGATGCGGATTTTGGTCTCCAAACTGTGGCTACCAGATGTTGATAAAATAACATGATTTTTAACTCAGCACACACCTTAGTTATCATGATACAACTTTCAGAAACAAGCACATGAACAGTTCCACTAAACACACACATCATATATTGTTCCCACAGTCAGTTAATTACACGGCTTAGTGGAATAACCTCGTTAATGTTATGCACTTTACAGAAAGTATCTACATCTATCAGTGGAACAGTATCTTGTAAAAAACACTTGCCTGATTAGTTGTGTCTTCCTTTTTAGAGACAAAAGAAAGCTCTGAATGACAAATTTTGGGCACTATCAACCAATCATGCAGCAATAAAAACTGAACGTTCATGAGAATGAAGACAGAAAAATCAGAAATTAGCAGGAGAGCATCAAAATAGATGGGCTACATAAGGGTTTTACTCTTTATTTACAGCAAATATATTACAGTAAAAAAAGGTTAACATGGCTCGTGTGGTTGTGTAAGGATGGTACATGTGCTTACATCAAACAGGTTTCATTTCCTTGGCACTAACTGAACCAAATACAAGGATTCGACACAAAAATAAGAAACAGAACATTTATTAGGCAAACACTGTGCTAACTGTACACATCTGCAACTGGAGTTTCAATGCAATCCAAAAGAACACAAACAAGTCATGAGGATGGCAAGAACTTTTTTTGACAAACATGTTTAACCCTCAAGACAAGGCTGTCTGGCACCATTTAAAAGTTGCTGTACTGAACACAGTGATTTTAAAGAAATGTCACAGATGATTAAGACACTGAAAATGCACTCACCACAGTGAAGAAGCCCATTATTTTCCTTATTTCAGTTTTTACTCCCACAGTACAAGAGTGTTAAAAGGCTGCATGGCTGACAAGCTGGATGCAACAGCTGGAGGGTTTTGCCTGTCAAGCAAAGAGACTTGCAGCAAGAGACATGCTTTATGCAACAAACCTGATGATACACAGCTTGTGTGGGTTCAAATAAGACGATCTAAGAACAACAAATGCTGGAGCCTTATAAGCTCTTTACATTATAATCAGAATCCTGAGAAAAGCAGGGTCCAAATTACTCCAAGTGAATTCAGGCTGGCTTATACACAACAAAATTGTCCAGATACATCAACAGTAGTAAACAGAGTTAATGCAGTGTTAATCTTTTTACATTTTAATGACTAGCTATAAAAACAGAAACTAGCATGTTCTAATCTGTTTACATTTCCTGAGCTTAGTTAAATCAAGAAGGAATGAACATTATAAAAATCCCGGTAAGTCACCAATAAATTAAAAATGTACATAACCACTATAGCTTAAGAAGCTCAGCGTGAAGTCTGCCTATCCAATATCCTTTCCTTAGGAATCCTGTACAGAAACTATGCCATTAACTTCACCAGCAATACTGAGATGCTATGAAATTGTAGGTCTTTTTTTTCCCCTGCTCTCCAAGCACCCTTCTAGCAGACTACCTGATAGCCTTTCCTAATCAAATCATGCGAGAGCATTCAAAAACTGCAACCCTCTACTTGCAGTGCACAAAACAATGTTCTCAGAAACGCAATGTACTACTGAAATTCAAATTTACCAGCAGCAGTTATTTGGGTGGACTCTCAGCTCTCAAATAACATCACTGCACTGGCAGCAGGTTTAGTATCCCTTGGGGGAACAAACCAGAAGACCCTTGGCAACAAAGAAATCAGCTTAGCGGTTTCTTTAAGAGCCAACATCTTGCATTTGAGAAAAGCACTCGACCTACATGAGTCATACACATGTTTATTTATGCATGTTTATTTCCTGCATAGAGAATACTGTGTACCTTGGAATAAAACCCAAGCCTTGAGAATATACTGAGAGTATGGGTATTTGTAGCAGTGCTATGGCAGGTTAATTCAAATCCAAATGATCAAACTCAACGGTCTCAAAGACCTGCAGAGCATGAACTTTGATAAAACAAACAACTTTTTAAAAAACTGTCTGCTTATAGCATGATTTTTATTTTATGGTGTAGATAAAAGAGAGGTAGAAAGGTTTATCTCCCCAATATCAGTTTCTGTGCAGTATTTATAAAGTATCAGAAAAAAACCTATAGCTTTTTGGTGAAAATGCCACCTTTTCTCCTTAGAATTACAAGGAATCTTTTCTTTCCACTGAAGTGCTGCAAATTAAGCAACTGGCATCTGGTTCAGAAGAGCTCTTCTTCCCATTAGCCGCACTAGATCATTTTTGTTACCAAGCTCTGTTTTTAAGAAGTCATTGCAGAAATACTCCCGTACAGGGCTCAAAAATTCCTCCCAGATACAGTCAACCCACCAAACTACATTTACCAGCCAAATAATACCAAGTCTGCTCCTAAGAAAAGCACTTGCTCTTGCTCCACTTACATGATCCATCTTAAGCATGCTACCAAGAGGGAGAGAAGTATGGAAGTATGGAAGGCTGTGTGGCCCTCCCCCTCTTTGGTGATGACCACAGGTATGAGCACCATCATCATGCTGTGTGGAAGTAGCTAGAGAGCTTCCTGAGACAGCTTCTCTTCCTGCCACGATCCACTCTCCGTAGCAGGAGGATGGATGGTGCTCTAGTGATGAGTGCTTCTCAAAAAGGGTAGGAAGGACGAGCTGACCAGGAGACACAGCTGAACAGAAACCATGCTGGTAAGATAAAAAACCATCTTTTTCTAGTGTAAGACAAGCCTGCAGCGCTGCAGTTTTCATGATTGTCACTAGATAAGGGAGAGAGAGGAAAACATCTCGGGCCCTGCAGCCGCAGTCATCAAGAGCGTGACCCACAGTGCACTGCACTTCCCACAGAGCCATGAGACTCGGACCCAGCAGTGCCAGGGGAAGGCAGGTCAGGGTGGGATCTGGCCATAGGGGCTCCACTCCCAATCCCTGCTCTCATGGCATTGCAAGAACTGATATATCTGTAAGAGAAGGACCTGACTGCTGACATTTCGGGGCACACAGGGCTGCAGCTCCAGCTTTATTCACATAGCAACGACTGTTCAAGGGTGGGATTTGAGCCATGAAAGTCAGACTGCTGCACGGTGACCTTTAATTTACCCACAGAATGTTAAGCAAATTACATTAAATTAAATTCAGTCAAAGCAGATGCTAGCTTATTTATTAAAAAGCTCAGCTTTCTCTTTCTTTCGACTGGTTTTAGACAGGCAGCTCTTGGGAGCAGACCTTCACTCTAACTCAGTCAGGCAAGAGCAGCTCCATAGAGATGGCCAGAGTGACTCTCCTACAGAAATACCATCCTCAAGAAGACCTGTCTGTCCCTAGGGATGCTCAGCAACAGCACATGAGCACATCTCCTGCTTGCTCACTACACTTCTTGCCTCGCCCAGGTCTTTTGCCTCCTTCCACATAAACCGCACTGGACTCACAGTGGAAGATGATTCTTCTCTGCCAACATTGCCATCTATTGTCATATCTTTCAAGAAATCTATGAATTGATTAATATAAAGAAGCATTTACTCTCTTTCAGAGAAACCAATACTGCTCTGCAAATACATAACTTGTCATTAATTTTTTATAGGATTGGGTGAGGGAGCCATATACAGTAACAGGGTCACATCCACAATACAGGTTGGAAACGTTTCTTTCTGTCAGTTGTAGCATTATGAGACAAGTAATGCTACTGTACTCAAATAATCAACAGGCAGGTTTCTTGTTTTCACCTGTCTCTGTCCTTCAGTCTGCTCCCTTTGAGCAGCATGCCTAAAAGCAGCCACATACATAAGAGATGTGTTGCTTTCAGCCACACAGGCTTTACACACAGTCTGTTTAGTCTTTTTCCTTTTGTTCTCTGGAAACATTACTCTCATTAATTTTCATCCTCCAACTATGATCCACCAAAATAAAAATAAATTCAAGTACAAACCCAAACTGGTTATTGCTGGGTTATGGGTCAATGTAAACTGACCAGTCAATGCCAACCTTAAATTCGCGTTTACAAAAGTAAGGATTGTTCGATTACATTTGCTGACCACAGACAGCTTCTTTCACTATTCACACAGCTTGAAGAACCAAAGATTTGCTGAGAACAAGACACGGTCCATGTCCTTTAGAAGTATATGGAGCTAGTAGCCATCATCCTCATCCATATCACAGCCATAATCTGAAACACACAAAGGCATATAAACATGCAAATATTCCAGGCTGATGGAAGACACAATGAAAGTATTGCTTCTTTAAGGTTGTTTTCCTTCTTTGTAACTAGATGGTAAGTTTTATCTTAAGCAAGCATTTTAAATATCAGCTATTTTCCTAGGGCTAAATAAAAAGTTCTTGCATGTACTTCCCTCAATGAAACAAAATTGTTTTAGCATCTATCAGTAAATATCTCTTCTCATGCGTCACTGGACGCTCATTTAGGAATACTTGCCACATGGATATGTGAAATACTTGGTTTAATTGAGAGGCTGAAATAGTCAAGCCTGATTGCCACAAGTAACCTGGCACACAGTGGCTGATGAGCAGCAGCATAGATTTACAAAGTAGGCACGTTTTTCACTAGACATAGGCACCAAGGAAAAAGCTGGTTTGTTTATATTATTCATGAATTTATAAACTGAAACTGCAAGGGTTCAGAGATAGCTCAGAGTTCCCATCAACATCAAAGGAGTCCTGGAACGAATCCTGACCAATGCATCTGACTTGGATCTCCCGTATCTACTTAATTCTAGAGAAACAACTTAAAATTTTGCCCAGATTTTTTTATCCACTTTTGTTTTCTTAAACAATGCTGAGTGCAAAGACTGTGCATTGTGTGTCAGAAGGCAGGTCTGTGTGTTTCTAATGCACTGGTTCTCTTCTGTGTGCCTCTGAATGTAGCAAACCAGGTATTTTCTGTTGTGTAGTCAAACCTATGGCTAACTATTACATATGAGCACTGAGGAAAGTTAACCTTTACATTCCAAATTCAGTAGAGGGCAACATCTCATCCAAAGAGTCAAGCAGATGCTCAGAAGCAAAATTAAGTGTAATCTACAATAATTTGTGTAGAATGGGTGAAGTTCACCATCTGTATTTTGTGCTGTTATTCCAGGTGGACAGGTCTAAAATCCATGGAGAAAGCAGTTTGGAAAGAGTTACTTGTTGTACTGACAAAGCTCTGCACACCTGCATTCAAATTCTGGGAATACTCCTTTCCTTTTTATTTTTATTTTTTGACTCTGATTTTTCAGCTGTTGTCCAGATCGGACAGGGAGTAGTGGAATGTTCTCAGAATGGTTTAAAAATAGTAACATTTACAAAGAAAAAAAGCTCAGTGACCTTTATTCTATTTTTGTGGGGGGTTTATTAATAAACATAGACTCACCCTCCCCCACATGGGTGCCTTTTCTTGGGAACATTATTCTAATAATAAATGCAGGCAGCAAACTGTTTCTCCTACAGTTCAGCAATTATTTTCCAGTGGAGAAATCAATTTAAAAGCAACAGACACTTTTGTGAAGTGTATACATATTGTCCATGCAGCTGACTGAATAGTGCTGGGAAGATTTTTGCAGCAAATAACATTTCAGTAGGGAACTTATTCCCATCTTGAGTCTTCACAACCCATAATTAGCAGCTCTCATTTTAAAAATAATTTTGTATATTTTCAAAGCTTAACTTCTAAGGGGAAGCTTTTAATAAAGGATAAATATGGATGTGTCCAGCTAGGAAAAACCACAGCAGAGAGGATACTGCCTTTTCCTGCCAGCAAAGAAATCTAATTAACTGAGAGGCTTTGCTGGGTAACCCAAAGAAATTAGCACACATCTGTGTACCATACAGCACACTGTGTGCTACCAATGCCATTCCTACACTTGGTGAACAACTACTTCCTCCTAACACTTTCCCAGAAATGGAGTGTGACTATTCGAGCTGGATTTGAGCTGGACAGACCTGTCCCCAAGGCTCATGGACAATCTGGACATCACTGCAGCCTCCACTGAGGAGGCAGCAGAAGTAGGGTGGCTCAGCTCGGGGGGCAACCAGCCCCAGACACTGCCAAAAGAGGGGTTACTGATCCCATAACTTCTCAGATCCACATTAATAAACCTAATTCTGAAAAACACATAACTTCAGTTTGCTCTTGAGAAGCCCTCTTAGCCTGAAGCTCAAGATGCAAAGTTTTCTCAGGAGTCTCTAAGAAGGTCAGGTTTTGGACAAGGCTAATTTGGGGCTTTCCCACAGGAATGGGCAATGCTGAAAAGGCAGCAGAAGCCCTAGGACAGGGACAATCAGGGGAACCCTGTCTGTCCTCAGCCCTGCAAGAACGAAGCCCACAGCACCAGGAGATGGTAACTTAGGCAGCAACCCAGCTCACCATTTCCTCCCATTAACTGCAAGGCGCTCATGCAGTGGTCATCATCTTCTTCTACCTCTTCCTCCTCCACCTCTTCATCAGGGTTATAAGCTACTGGGCCACTCTCCACGAGCACAGCTGCTGGTTTTTCTACAGGAGGGGCTTCTGCCTGTGCATTTGGAAACGTCACCTGCAAAAAACAAGAGAAGGCAATAGAGCAGCTTCCAGATGACAGCAACGAGAGAGATGGAAGTCTTTGTCTAGTGCTAGAGGTTCAGTTGTTCTAATGAAAGTCTGAACAAAAGTCAGGCAAAACCATCTAGTTTTTACATAGTCCAGACCCAGGCAACTGAAATATCCAGCAACAGTAAAAGCAGAACAAGGATCCTCTTGCAACCACAAGGGAAGGCAAAATTCGAGAGCGAAGGCTCCTCAGTAGAGCTCTGTGGGAAAACTTACAACCTCTTCCTCAGTGTGCTCAACTCACATCAGGCCTATTACACAATAACAACGTTATTGACAATTTAATGATAGCAAAAATGTACCCTTCAAATCAGAAAAAACCAACATGTATTAGTTTTGACAGCTCTGGTTGGATTTATTTGGCGGCGCAACGAGCTGTGGAACAAATAGCACTCCGTAGACAGCACTTAATGTGATGGCAGAGCACTCAGTTGATAATACAGGCTGGCACCTGTAACATTACCTATGAAATTCATCAGAATAACGATCTCCAAACAATAACTTGGGAATCGATCATTGACGGGACCCGCTCTGTACGTGCACCGACCCAGCTGCTCCAAGGTGAGGCAGGACACAGCACGGAGGGAGAGAAAGGGCAACACCACAGGGGGATAGAGGTGAGTTTGGAGAAGGTAATATTGTCTTTGGTTCACTAAGGAGAGACCTGGGAATGGGGCAGGAACCAGCAACATGGTCTGCCCCAGCACAGCCCAGGCTCTGGTCTTTCTGGAGCTCTCACTTTCATGGTGTGCTCAGTCTAGGGCTCCACCTCCTTCTCTCATCCAGGGAAGAAACATCAGAGGAGCTTTATCTCCATCAGCTCTGTAACAGGGCACTTTTCACCTCCATTCTGTACTTGGACTATTTGGGGTTTGTACACTAGAGCCTGTGGCAAAAAAACCCAGTCCATTAGTGGCAACTTGAAGAATATTAAAGATTAACCATTAATGCTGCTTGTGACATTAAGAATTTTGAAAAGGGAATATTGAGAGTACCTGTCACCAGTCAGCAGTTACCAGCACTGAGAGTCATCTCCCCTACTAGGAAAGACTGGGACCACTTCCTTGGGAAGGACAGTGGTGAGGTGCTTCTAAAAATGAATGGTCCAAAGGAGACCAGAAAACCCCAACTTCTCTGGTCCCAACCACAAGAAAAGTCGTACAGTGCTTTAGGTTTTAAATTACAGTGCACAACTATGTACTGTTGCATCTTCTTCAGTTCCACTGGCAGCAAGTTCTGATTCAGTGCTGTAATTTATTTTTATTTATTTATTTATAAATGTATTTACTTGGGATGCAGTAACTCCCAGAATCCCTGTAACTCCAGGCACTTTAGAGATACACCATAAGAGAAAATCCCTGTACCAGAAAGTTGATAGTCTAATTATTCAAACATCAAAGCTGTTCTGAACTTGTCATATACCATGACAGTCAACCTAAAGAATCTGCCTGAGTTTTTCAAAGTCACCTAAGGGTTTGCTCCAATAGCTCATTAATAGGGCAAAAGACACCCATTAATTTTAATAGAAAATCAAGTATTTAGATATTCGGATCAGTCGAAGACAGGTTTTCATGATTTTTTAATGCACAAATTAATCATATTATTTATAGGAACTTCCCTCCAGTTTATATTTCCTACCACTGCCTTTGCCTCTAGAGTGATCCAACTGAGTCCACCTCGGTATAAGCAGAAATAGACACAACAGTTTGAGACCAATCAGCATCATAATATACATCAATTTATATGCTTAAAAGTATCCATCTGCTCTGAAAAAGTGGGTGAATATAAAGGAGATACAATTGAGTCATTATTTTTTAAAATTGCACCATGCTAATTAAAATGTGACCTTCTTTTAATTATCATGTCCACTTCCAGACTGCTGTACTTCTAAAAATGTGCAGAGTTTTCTAATGAGCATAGAATAAGAAGTGAAAATGTATTTCCCTAGGCAGGATATCAAACTGTTTCTGAAAATCAATGGGTTTCAGTCATTTTAAAAATAAGGCAGTCAAACAACACCTTTAAATAGAACTTCCTGAATTCACTTCCAGACATCCTGGACTGGAGTTTGGCACTTAGCTTTAAGTATAGGTGGGCAATTGTTAAAGATGTTAAACAACCCAAGGGAACTGGTTCACTTTCAGAAAGGTGTCAGTATCACATGTTCAGGGGGGAAAAGAAGAGGGACAAATATACTTTTGGTATACTGAATGTTTAGGCATACAATAGACAGTTTACTGTACACAAAATGCCTATGAATACTCTGTACAGGGTGAAAATAATAATGAAAGAAAGCAGCTATTGTTGTTATCTGGTGTCACCATCCCATAATAATCACAGTCCCTTCAGGAGAAAATGCAGGTGCACAAAGCCACCTAAGGAGGGTTTCTGGGGGTGGACAGATTAGTTACTAGTTACTAGTTACTAGTACAGACTTTCCTGCAGCACTCTTACATTTTCAAACGAGACAAACCAACAAACAAACAAAGCAAAGAGTAAGTCATGCTGTAGAGGGTAAGCTGTCTTTTCTTACTAGTCTCCCACAGAAGCCCAGCCCTCCCCTGGGGTCAGGTCTGGCTGAACAAAAGTGGCATTTTGTGTCATCCTCCTTCTCTGTGGGGACACTCCAAGTGCTGAGAAACAGACACAAGCTCTGCCCTCTCCTACTCCTCCTGCCTATTTATTTGATATGGACCTTTTTAGATTCTTGCAGGGAGTCTTCTGTTTCTTTTTCTGTCTAACCAAGCATTATGAGGCTGTGCTAACGCTACTGATGGATAAATAAGAGCAAATCTGGGTTAGAAAACAGGCAACCTCAGCTTCACAGTGTTCACAATAACCAACTCCTGGTCTGATCAGAGAGACAAGACTCTCAATTCTTTTACCCATATCTACCACATAACCAGAGCCAGGCTGAGAACGGCTTCCAGGAATTTCCAAACTCAACCTGTTGCACTGGGAGAAGTGCTGGACTTTACATACCTCTTCAGTGGCAGCCTTTTTAGCAAGCTGGGTTGAAATCAAGGGTCTTAATCTGAAAAGAAGGAAAGAAAAAAACAGGGAACATCAGAAAAGCTGCACCATGCCCAAGAGTTTGAAACAGAGTATTCACTCTCCAAACAGTGAAAGCACTTTGCTAGTGTTATGTTGCACAATTACTTTTTTAATGATTTAAGATAAAGAGCGGAGAGCCTCAGACTCCACAATAATTAATACACACATTCCCTTGGCAGTGTCTGCCCCAGTTCAAGATAATAAGAAAAGATGCCAGTCAACAAGCACAGCAGCAAAACCTCATCTCAAATTGCAGCCCCAGCCTGTCTCCAAGGTCTTTGAAATAGATGGGTTTGTCACTTATTACAAAAGTCAAAAGAAAACTGATTTTTTTGGAAGAATGGAGACGTGGCAAAACTGAGCCACACTCTGATTGCCTAGCACTGCTCTGAAACTGCTTCCCTGTATCTGATGATACAGAGGGGACACCAGTAAGATTATACATGGAGGATATCATAATCACCACAGGTGAAATTTTACCTCCAGCTACAGAAATCATCAAAACCAAGGGGACCCTGCATACCTTGAATGGAAAACAACAGAAATTGAATATAAACATTTTTTAAAATTCTGCATTGGATATGAAAAAGACCTGCATATCTGGGGAGAAAAGATGGATCAGTGTTCCTTTACAGCTAAGTGTTAAATATTATTACTTCTGAAAAACATTTCATAGTCTGTTGTCTCCTTACTGCCATGAAGGCTGTTCTCAATCCATCATTTATTGTTACTTTCTGGTCTCTCCTCCTCATCTAGATGTATCTAGTCACGAAGAGGATGACTTGCTTTCTACTGAAACACTGCTCAGACAGCTCCTCAAGCACGTCTTTTAACTAAGTCTAGGCAAACAACTTAATGAATACCAATTTATGTCTCCAGAGATACAGTCTTTTATGATAAGCAGTACTTTCCTCTCATTTTTCTCTTAGTCATTCCTCCTTGTTAACACACAGAAACCAGTTGTTTTCTTACTTATTTATTTATTTTCAAATAATCAGCGGGAGGAAACGAAACCCCAGAGAATGAGCAGAGGAGACTGAGATCATTATCTCTGATGGAGAAGACACAAGATATTGGCTAAGCTCCAAAAAGGTTCAGAAACTGGTCATCTCTGAAACACTCTGCAGGACCAAAAAGGCATTTCAGCAACACAACCAGTTCAAGGTGCCAAGGGAATGTTTCAGGAGCTGTGCCACTGAAGAATCCAGAACACATTATTCTGTTACAGATACTTCTTGTCATATTTCATAATCATCAAAGATGTCAAGAAAAAACGCTCTTGACCCACATAAATATCTATTAAAAATCCTAGTGGACTTCTGAGCTTAGAGAGAATGTTTTTGAGGGCATGGATGCACTCCTCCCTACTTGCCTGGCTTCTCTTTCCTTTATCTAACCTGAACTGTAGAGTATTCACCTTTAAAGGGCATCTAGTCCAACCCTCTGCAATGAGCAGGGACATTTTCAAATAGATCAGGTTGCTTAGAGTCGCATCCAATCTGGCCTTGAGTGTTTCCAGGGATGGGGCATCCACCACCTCTCTGGGCAACCTGTGCCAGTGTTTCACCACTCTCATCATAAAAAATTTCTTCCTTAATTCCAGAAATCTGAGACTACCTAACTACTTTCAATCACTGTTTTCCAAAAATCACTCTGTTTAGATGCTTACAAATATATGGATGCAGCAAAGACAAAAGGTTACACAGCTGAAGGATTCTAATTACCAAACAGGTTGTATTTCATTGACATGACTGAAAAAAATCCAACAGGGGTAAGAAATGAAGGACTTTTATTTTAAACCAGTAGTTGTGATTATTGCAATTAACATTGTACCAAAGATAGCACCTATACTCTCCTGCTACCCAAAGACATCAGACCTCCCCTGGAGCACCCTGAAAATATTTCCTCCCCCCAATTAAAATCAAGCTGTTGAGTAAGACTCACAAAGTAATCAGAAACTGCTGACGTTTCTTTTAGAGCAAATTATACATGTGCTCACACAGTGAAGAAAACAATCACAGCTATAGGAAGCAAAGAGTAAACATTCCAGTTTCATTTTAATTAAAATGGTCCCCTAATGAAAATAAAAAGATTCAGGCTTATGAAAAGCCTATTTGCAAAAACTTTAGTGCTAAATCCAAGAGCCCTTCTGTACAATTTCTCAGCAGTGAGGGACTCTCACACCCAAACTGAAATTAAAGCTGTATTTCTGTTCCATGAGAGCTGCTCACAACCTGTACATCTTCACTTCATTAGTACAAACACAGCACTGCTGTCTGATTTGAGCAATACAGTTTCTCTCTCAGTGTAGTACAAAATGCATCCCAAAGCAGAGGGGTGGATCCTGCCACGGATGGTTGGCACCTCCTGCAGTGCAGATCTAGAGGGGTCACTCCCCACCTGGGTGGAACAGCCCAGCTCACTGCACCTCCATACTATCTGCTGCCTACAAACACTAGCCATGGCAACTGGGAAAAGGTAAAACCATATTAGAGACAAAACCTTATTTCCCCACTGAAAAAATGGCTTTGATTCCAATTATAGTTACAAAAGTTCTAAATATATAACTCCCTTGGCTCTCCTTATGTCTGTGGAGAGCCCTACTCTTACTGTACAAAACTATTTAGGAAGGTTTTATACTTGGGGTGTTGTTTTGTTTCTTAAAAGCCTTGATGTCCTGACCTCCTTAAACCAGAGCAGCTGCTGCCACACCAGCCATATGGAGCAATAAATTACTGGCTGCCATGGCTACAGATATGGACTCCTCCTGCTGTCTGGCTGCACCTCAGAGAGTGGAAAAACGTGTCCTCGTGGAAGAGCATGACTGATTTTGAGGCTGGGATAGACTTGCGTATTAATTATCAAAAAAGCACCTTGAAAATCAAGCAACTGAAGTATCTTATCCAACTTCTACTGTGCACAACCCAAGCTCATCTCTAAAAGGCTACAAAGGAACACACATGCACAAGAAAGATACTTCCACTGAAGTCCAGACTGAATTAAGGGTTCCCAAGTTCCATAAATAATAATATCTTACACTAAGATACAATTCCATGTATGCTGAAATGACAACAGCATCTATTTAAAATGTAAAGTTGTGACTGGGAAGTAATGAGGCTCCTGGTGTTCCCAAGTGTGTCAGTCATTGTTCACTATTTATGATGATTTCTAGTTTGGGCTACTTTGCTTATGAACTTTGCAAATTAATACAGTACCTTATGGGAGGGAGCAAGAGAACAAGCAACTTTCTGAACAGCAATGTGATTCATAACAGGGGGATAAAAAAGATTTCACACAGCCCCAAGTGTTATATCCACACTTCAAACTACTTCAAAAATTATGCAGATCTACTAATGCTCATGTCAGCCAACACACATAACACTGGAAGCAGATTATCTTGACATGTTTGTGACAAAAACTAATGGCACGGTACAAGGCATCAGAGGCTGCTCCCCGCCGAATCTGCTCTGCTCTCAGCCGAGATGTGCACGATAACACTTGGATTTGTCCTCCAGCTTAACAATTTAAAAGAAGATTCAATGTAATAGCTCCTGACAGGGCTGGAGATCACACAGACTGAACTTTCAAAGTGAGCAAATTCTCAGAAAAACAAGCTGGCTGTGACAAACAAATGCTTTTATTTTGCTTATTATTTAATAACAAAGGATTACACAGCACAGTACATAAAGCAGAAAGAGTACTGCGAGGTAATAAACCCACCTCACTTGCATCAGGCTGTTCGCCCACAAAAAAGTTTGACAATACCATAACAATCTCCTCAGTGCAATCCTGCAAGTAATTTGGAAACTCAACCACAGCTCTGTTTCTTACTGAATTTTAATTTAATCCATCCAAGTAGGGAACATCTTATTGCTGCTTACCGCCCATACTAATTTTATACACGGATGGTCCCAGAATACACGATGGAAAGCGGAGATAGAATAGAGTCCAGAGCCACAAGCCTGCAGTGTAATTATGCAGGTCATCCAAGACAACTGCCCATGAAACCTATATATCCCCACACAGGCCTTTCATGTGCACAAGAGAAAAAGCCATTGAGAAATGACTCGGCAAGAGACCAGTCAGGTTCTCGACCACGGCCGAGATCCTCCTCCCACCTGAGGCCAGATGGTTCTGCCTCAGGAGGTCAGTTTACCAGACATCTGTGTGAGAAGGAAATTAATATAAATGTTTACCCAGGCTAAGAGTGCCCTTTAATTAGGTACCGTCATTGTTATCCTTACCGGAAAGCTGGGAATTACCTCTGTGCAAGGATTTAATGCTCTTCTTGGAAACACAACAGCAACAGAAGATACCGACCCACTCTTCTGCCAATAGGTCAGGACAAAGGGGCGACCCTCCTGGACTTGGACCACTGCTCTTTTCCAGAGGGCAAAACAGAGACTGCAATGATGACCACAGCTCTGGAGCACTTCAAGGTTTGCACATCCAGCTGTGGATCCCACTGTTTTCTACATCTGCTTCCGGCTGAGGGCCAGGTGCTCACAAGAGCCACTCCCTCTGCTCAAGAGGAAGCGGAGGCACATGGCCAAGGCCATGGCTGTGACACCCATGAACAGCTGCATGACACTAAGAGGACAGGGGGTGGTGGGTAAGAGTGCACTGTGCCACCTCGGATTTCCAAATATGACTTCATGCTCTGCACAATGACAAAACATCTCTGATGCTCACAGC